TGTCTGCTGGCTGGCTGCCTGCAATTTGGCAGTTAAAATCTCACCAGGCTCAAGGTTGACTCAGCCTTCCATCCTTCTGAGGTCGGTAAAATGAGGACCCAGATTGTTGGGGGCAATATGCTGACTCTGTAGAGAGGGCTGTAAAGCACTGTGAAACAATATGTAAGTTTTAAGTGCTGTTGCGATTGCTATCTTGTGAGACCGCATTACTAGATGTCTAGAACTATGAGCTGGACATACCTGTGATAGAGGGTGAGACCTTTATTTGAGCATCAAGGTGATGACTGGAACTCATTGATTTAAAACAAATTCAAGCTCCATGATTTTTTGTCTCTTCTCCATTTTTTGCCTTATGTTATAATCTCTTTATGGCAACTGGGGTTATGACTTCATCCCAAAAAACAGAAAAAAAATCATTTGGAGTGCAACATCACCCTTGGAGTGAATCCTCTGCAGACTACAATTCACTAACCATCTTGCTTCACTTACTATGTTCCATCAGCATTATATTTTACAATTAATAATGAGCTTTTTGATCACAGTCATTAAAAACTCAAGGTTTCTTTTTGCTTGAGCAAACGAAGTGAAACTGCGTGCATGGGTATGACATTTGTTACTGGTAGATACAATCTAGGTTTTTAAAACATTTTGTTTTTATGAAGTGATCTTTAAAACACTTCAGTATTATTTAATGGCTATAGCATTGTGATTGTACAGACGGACTTGGTTGCCTGCAAAGTGCTAAATAAGAGACTAATCTACATTTCTTCGTTGTTCGAAGTACATGAGTACACAAGTGTTAATTGATCTACTGCTAATTAATCTTACCTGCCCTATGAATTGTTACAGTATTTTGCTAACAAGGAAAGCAGATTATATTGCTATTTTAACACATAGCCTCCCTGATAATGCTTGTAGTTTTTTTCCAAACAGTATGTGCCAATTTTATAAGGCTTTTAAAAAAAAAGTTTCTCTTTTTTGTGCATGGGCCCATAAAGGCTGTGCAGATTCAAAGGGAGAAAAAGCTTTGAAGCATATTCAGTGCTCTTGTTTATTTTATCAGCAACTCCTTAAGGCAGGTGTGCCTTTTCTCTTCCGCCTATTTATATTTCCCATTGCTCTTTTCTCTTTCTCAAATCTACTGTGTACCATCCTTTGAAAATGAAAAAGCCTCCCCAGATAATTACATTAGATAATACATTACCAATCTTCAATTGTTGTCCCCCCCCCCCCCCCCCAGATCAGGCAATGTTGACTAGATGTTGCCACGCATTACAGGTAACATGGAACACAATAGTGAACAACAGTTTCTGTGCTGAAATACTTTGCTATGATAATGCAAAGTGCTCCATGATAATGCAGATTATTCAACTGTATGGGCAAATATTTTACTACTCGGTGAAGAGCTAAGGATTTGCTACATATCTGAGAGTGTGACAGAAAAAGACAAAAGCTCACACTTCATATATTAATGATTTGGTAGAATATTTGCTGAGGAAATTCATTGCCAGTGATAGGTTGGAATTACGTTGTCCTCCATGATTAAAACTTACAAGTGATAAATCCAAAGGAATTATCTCCTGCCCGGAATGCAGGGATTTTGTCTTATTCACGGCATTTGGCCTTGTTTTGGGTAATAGATAAAATCGCTTTTTGTGTAGGAAAGGCAAGAAAACATTTTCCTCCTTTCTAGAAACATCAAGCAAGAAATACATTTGGGAGAAAAAGGAAAACATTTGGGTAGTGGATAAGTGTACTGACTTCTTTTTCAATTTGAGATAAGGACTGTAAAATAATAAAAGTCTTCATTTATGAAGAAATTACAGAACTTGACAACCCTCATATATACCGATAAGAATTTATAACGAAAAGATACAGGTTGGATTTTCAGATTTAATCATATTAGCCTCACTTTTTTTGTCTCTAGCTTCTCTATTTTTCAGACTATAAGACGCACCGGAGTATAAGACACACCAAGGTTTTGAAGAGGCAATTTTTAAAAAAAAGTTTTTGCACTCTGCAAACCTCCCAAAAATGGCCCATTTTTCCCCCCCAAAAAGGCCATAAATAGCCGTTAGGAGGCTTGTAGAGTGCTCCTGGGTGGGTGGGGGCCAAAAACAAGCAAATAACGGCCATGGATAGCTTTTAGGAAGCTTATAGACTGCTCCTGGGGGTCGGTGGCCCATTTTTTGTTCATTTCTGCCCTCCCCAGCCCCCAGGAGCTCTCTGAAAGCTTCCTACAAGCTATGCACGACCATTTTGGTGACAGGTGCGGGTTTTTGGGCGGCAAAAAAAAGCTGTATTCAGTATATAAGACGCACCCAGATTTTCAGCCTCTTTTTTGAGGAAAAGGGTGTGTCTTATACTCAGAAACATACAGTAATTAAAATCCATCCCCAAACATATAGAATATATCCCCAACTGTTGTATTCTTGTCCACTCTGGCTTTACTCAGACTATCTGTTCTGAGGATTGGATATAAAGGAATACAGAAACTGAAGAACCTTTCACTATGACAATCACAATCATTACGCTCTTAATCAGAGGATAAACACAGTTACCTAGTTTTGTAGCAGACCCCCCCCCCCAAAGAATTAAAAACTGTTGAGGGGATAAAAATACTCAATTATCATTTCAGAGAAGAAACAAAAGCATGTTGGCTTTGGCCTTTTTTGGGGGTGGGGGTCGACAAAATTAGATAGAAAGCTAGAGATTGTAAGAGATGAAAGAGAGTCAGGAGATTGTCTAGTCCTAACTTCTGACGATTCCAGCATTCTCAAAACAATAGATATCTAATTTTTGGTTCAAAAAGAGATTTGATCACTTTCCCAAATGTAATTTGGGCTATTCAAAAAGTTTGTTTTTAAAATAAAAGGATGATAAAGTGATGGAACCTAATGGGAACTCTCCCAGCTCAGACTCTGACTGCCTCTTAAAATAATGTCTAAAATTGCATTTCAGGAGACATGACGGAAAGCAAAGCAAAGAAAATAGAGATCAAAGACGTTGATGGACTAACCTTAAGCAAACTAATAGATTATATCTACACAGCGGAGGTAGAAGTCACAGAGGAGAATGTCCAGGTGAGGGAAGCTGAGAAGAATCTCTTGGTTACTCTGTGGTTTTGGCAGATCCTTGAAACTCCCTGTCCTGCAAATTATTTTTAAATCAGCTGTAGAATACCTTCTACCTTACAAGGCTTTTGATGATGATTTTCAGCTGATTCTTAATTTTATTATTTAACTAAAATAAACAGTGTCCCAATATCTCCTCAAGTATGAAATATGACAACATAAGAAAACAGTTGAAGCTATTTAAAAATATATAACATTCAAAATTTTAAGAAATAGAGCCATTTTCAACTTCTATATTTTATTTTACTATGCAAAATAACAGGAAGCTTAGAGGTAATATATTTTCAATCTTACTGATATAACTAAAATGCAGAGATCAATTTTGAACAAGGAACATTGACCAATAGTAGGGTTAAGTTGCGGGTCCTTGGGGCGCTCATCAGAAAGTAGCAAGGATACCTCGAGTAATATTTAAAGAATATCTGAGGCCTCTTTGCTAACTCTTGAAAAAAATCTCTTTCAGCCAATGCTGTTTCCTGTGTTGTTCAAAATCATTGATCTGAATATATGTGTATTCTAGTTCTGAAAAATGTTGTATAAGAATATACCATGTGTAAATTATTGGGAACTGAGGTCAATGAACCTAGTTTTATTATCAAATAGGCTTTTAAAATCTTTTTTTCCTTCTCATTATTTTGTTGCTCTTAGTATATTTTACTGTATTATCTTGTACATATCTCAGTCAAAAGATCCACTAATTTTCACGACAATTTATCCAAAGTAGACAAAAATATTACTGCTTTTCTTATATAAGCCACTTTGGAAAGTTTTCATTTTTAAGGATGGGCAGAAAAAAATTATCAAAGTACAGAATACATTTTAGGTTGAAATTTAGAATGAATCATTTTTAGAATGTCATTTTATTCATTATAATGTGTGTGTGAATATATGCATACAAAGTTGATGTTGTCTTCTGAAATTGAGTATCTCTGAAGAGATTAAAAATACATTTGACATGACAATGAAAATATAATAGTTTCGTCTAGTTTGGTGTTTCAGTTCATGCAGCATTTAATAAGGATGATGAAAGTTGAGAACTAAAGATTTGAAATGAACTTTACAGTCCACTGCAGTGTGATTATGGACACCCAAAAGGTCAGCGTTCAGCACCCTGATTTATAGTCCAGTTGAGAAATGGGAAATAGGGATAGGATCATGATAAGAAGCCATCTCCATTTCTTCCTGCTCCCTTGAATTGGCAGGGAAAGTCTGTATTGAGCTCCAACTGTCTCCATCTTCTCAGAGTCATTATTCACCAGAGTGCCAGGAACTCGTCGTTTAGGATTTCCAGTTTCGTGGAAGATGATGAACAAGAGATGAAACACCTTTGAACCTTTCCTCTCAGTTTGAGGAGATCTGTGAAAGGGTTTCCAAAGGATACAGTCTTGGCAGTCCAGTTTGCCAACAAATTTTGAAAGTGCTGGCTCTTGTTCTATGATACTCCAATAACTTAACCATTGAAATGCAACATGGATGTAGATGCTCCCCTTCCTGGGAAGCGTGCTGTTAATTATATTTACATTTTGTCCTTCATCGTTTGAGGAGAATATTAAAACCTTGAAAAACGGATGTTAGGTGAAAAAATCCAATTATTATTAGTTTCTCTTAACCAATTATTATTTAGTTTCTTTTTTCTAATCTATTCTAAAAATCAAAGTGTATTGAGGCCTAGAGACTGATGGTTTAATTTTATTGATGCCTGTTGGGGTTAGAGCTCTCTAAAATAGTTACTGATTTGTAATATTCCCGTGTGATCCAGCTGGGTTGGATTGTTCTTGCTGGAATAAGAGAATGAATGCACCCCAGGGTATGCTGCAGTTATATTGTTCTGTTTGGCTGAAGTATGTTAAAGAAGTAGAGAAATATAATTCTTTTCTTGCTCAGGTGTGTTATAGTATTGGTTAGCCTTTAATACTTTTAAAAATCATGTTTCAATATGGTTGTTTTTTTGAAGGAGCCAACATGGGACTTCAATTGCTAATTCTTTGTTGCCTTTTCTTTTTCAAATTTCAGGTTTTACTGCCAGCTGCCAGCTTGTTACAGCTAATGGATGTTCGACAGAACTGTTGTGACTTTCTTCAATCTCAGCTCCACCCCACAAATTGCCTTGGAATTCGCGCCTTTGCAGATGTGCACACCTGCACAGAATTATTGCAACAGGCCAATGCCTATGCAGGTGATTGTAACAGCCCTCAAGATGTTCCTGGCTTTAAAATATGAAAATATTGACGTCTTGGATACTAGTACACATCCTTCAACCTAAATCAAAACAACGAAGGGGGAGAGAACTAATTTTCTGCTTAAGCTTGTAGGTGATCCTCTTGCGTAATAAGAGGACTTTTAACATTTATAAAATGCTAATTCTTACTGGTGAAATTCAACTGAATGTATGCATGATCTAAATCCCTCAAGTAGAGAAAGGCAACATGGCATCTCCTACATATTTCTGAATGAATTTTCATATTTTTTGAATAATGATCATGTTGGAGGAAGTATATCAAAATTGTAGTTTGGAGGTCAGTATGTTTCATACTCTTAACCTACAACAGCCACCTCAACCTAGATGCCTTTCAGAAGTTGGACTTCAGCTGTCCAAATTCCTTAGCCAGCAGACTGAAATGTCTGGAGGAACAAACATTGGAAAAAGCTGCCATTAAGATATTATCTGAATCTACATTTTAAATACACCTTTTCATGCTAGATGTTCTGAACAGACATACGAATTATAAAATGATTTCAAGCAGGCAATTTTACCGAATCTCTTACAAAAAATATTATACCAATGTTTCAAAGCCTCAATGTTCAGTAAAATGATCATTGTATATTTAAGATATACTGAAACAACAATCATCCTTCCTAATAGTAAATGTCTGCTCCCTAGCCAACTTTTAAGTTAATATATCATTAACTAGAAAAGGATATGGGGGAAGTTAGGTAGAATATTGAGGTTCTACTTGGGCTCATATCTTTGCTTACTTGGACATACCTTTCATTGCAAGAGCACCACAGAGTTGGAAGGGACCTAGAAGGTCTTCTAGTCCAACCCCCTGCTTAGGCAGGAAACCCTATACCACTTTAGACAAATGGTGACCTGAACCTTTCCTTAAAGTAATGGAAGAGGTGTCTATATCAATGACACATTCTTTTTTTTTTTGATGATGATGATAACACTAATACATCATAGGAAGATTCTATAAAGCTGCAGTTCTGTTTCTATTCTTTTTGTCCAAATAAAGTGGGCTTGGCTGGTAAATAAGAAACTTTCAGTTTGAATCAAATTAATTTGCAAATCCAGGTACAAATCTTTTCAGCATGATTTAATTGATGAAATGAAGTGGGCATGTGCTAAGGAGACATGCTCTGATATAGACAGAGACATTTTTCATATACCAGGATCTCTTGAAGACAGACTAAAAAGGAGGATTTTGAAATGTGACAGATAGGTCTAGGCAAACATCGGTGCATTCTGTGATCAGTGTAGAAAACAAAAGGCAAATTCCAGGTTTGGACACATTAGGAAAGGAAGAATTGAAAATGAAATAGCTCATACAGGAGTTATCCCTTATTAGCACAATTTGTTATCTGGACTTTTGTATTGACATGGTCACCAAACAAACCAGATCTAAAGGTTTTTACATATCTGCAATGTAGATCTTGTACTTTGTTTCTTTACTTAAGCACAGATGACCTTTTTCACATGCATAAAATACATTTTTGTAAGATCTTGTTACTGATGTAATGAAGTGAGAACAGACTCCCTATTGATAAGCAGTTCAGCCAATGCACCAATTCATAATATATCTTTGGTGATACTATACTTAGAGCATGCATACAAGTTTTCATCAAACCTTGGCTAATTTGAGAGCTGAGAAAGATATACCAAGGTTAGTTCAATATGATTATGGGGCTAGAGTAGCAGTTTTATGATAAAAGCTACAGTGCTTAGATTTATTAACTTGCAGCAAAGTGAGTTAAGAGGAGACATATTAAAGTGGTGTTTTCAATCTGATCAAATCCAGATCTTGTGGACTTTAAACTCCCAAAATTCCCTATCCAGCAAGGTCATTGCTGAGAATTTTGGGAGGAGTACACATATAGTTCACATGGACTATAACTAGGCTGAAAAATACTATATTTGAGGAGAATAGGTATCTATTATCCAATATAGTGGATAGTAAAATCGTTCATAGTATAAAACTGTAAGTAGGAAGAAGGTTTTTTTCATTTGTTCCTTACAATGTCAAAATTGGGGGTCATTCAATATAGCAATAGCAATACTAATAGCAGTTAGACTTATATACCGCTTTATAGGGCTTTCAGCACTCTCTAAGCGGCTTATAGAGTCAGCATATTGCCCACAACAACAATCCGGGTCCTCATTTTACCCACCTCGGAAGGATGGAAGGCTGAGTCAATCCTGAGCCGGTGAGATTTGAACAGCCGAACTGCAGAACTGCAGTCAGCTGAAGTAACGTGCAGTGCTGCATTTAACCACTGCGCCACCTCGGCTCTCGATATTGAACCTAATATGGAGAGATTTAGGACCTATAAAGAAAGCACTTGTTAATAGCAGTAGCAATAGCACATATATCACTTCACAGTGCTTTTTAGCCCTCTCTAAGCAGTTTACAGAGTCAGCATATTTGGGTCCTCGTTTTATCAACCTCAGAAGGATGGAAGGCTGAATCTTGAGTTGGTCAGAATCGATCTGCTAGCAGTGTTGGGAATGCAGAGTCAACCTGCAATACTGCATTCTAACCACTGAGCCACCACGGCTTCTTCAACCTTAGAACTGGTGATGATGGTTATCAGTTTGGGTGGCTTTACAGGTTGTCCTTGACTTACAACCATAATTGAGACCAGGATTTCTGTTGTTAAGCCTGGCGGTTGTTAAGTGAGTAGTACCCAATTTTATCAACCCCCCCCCCCCAATTGTTGTTAAGCCAATCACTGTAGTTAAGTGAACCGTGTGGCCTTTTAAGCAAATCCAAATTTCCCATTTGGCTTTGTTTGTCAGGAAGGTTGCAGATGGGGATCACATCATCCTGGGATGCTGCATGTGTTGCAAATACATGCCGGTTGCCAAGTGCTTGAATTTTGATCATGTGATAGTGGGGACGTTGTAAAAGTGAGAACTGGTTGCAAGTCTTTTACAGTGCCATTATAACTTTGAACGATCGCTAAACAAATGGTTGTAAGTTGAGGACTATCTGTAAAAGATTCCGGGGAAATTACGGGTTTTTTACAGGTTTACGGTTTCTTTTGCCATAGTTGTTAAGCAAATCACTGTACTTAAGTGACCCATGTGGCCTTTTAAGCAACAAAGTTGCCAACAAAGATGTTTGTTGCAACCGACCTGCTTTGAAAATCAGCAGCTAAGTTTAACATTTTTATCGAGTTATAAAATATTGTAAAATACAAAATACAGAAGCCAATAGAAAAGCTGTTGGGACGGGGGGTGGAGGGAAAGAGAAATGATGAAAGATAAGAAAAAGAAAGAAAAAGAAACTGACTTCTGACTCTCTCTGTTACAGTAAAATAAGGCATTAACATCAAATCCCAACTTTTTCATAATAATATGAACATAATATGTTCTTAATAATGTGAACAAGCCTTTAATGTAAAGATCAATCAATCTACTTGGTAAAACCCAAAACCAAATTTTCATTTTTTTTCCACATGAAGCATGAAGTTCAGAAGTGGTCTCCATGTGGAAACAAAACTACTTATGTTCTTTTGTTTAATCAAAGTAGTCAATTTTTGCCACTTCAGTCAACTCCATCAAAATCAGAGGCTAAATGAAGCCTGTTGCTCTCTGGTCCACATTTCTCAATTTCTTGAATGTAGGGCGTTCAGAGCTTTGCTTACTTTCTTATATCTGGGACAAATAATTATCTTTAAATGCTTGATTTTTAAAACCATTTAATCTTTAACCAGACCAGCACTGAACAAGGTTTAATTTAAATCTGGTTTAATTGCAAGAACTGCTCTTGTGGTTTTTTTTTGTTGCCCTTCATGAGGAACATATTACTTTAACATCCCCCTATGAAATGTTAATGGAAGTATTCCAGAAATGCATTCAAGATTCCTTTGGCTATACATTAACTGTGTACAGTGAAATAATTTGCATTTTAAAGCAGCAGAAAGCAACCTATGAGTTCAATGAGTACCCTCCTTGAGATATGCCTAAAGCTGATAACTTGTGTTATCATTGTGATTTGTTTGATTTTGGTTTAGTGTGCTGTATGGTCACAGTCTAGTTACCACTCGAGTGTAAACGTTTGCCTTCATGCAATTTTAAATATTTCTTCAGAACATTATATTCTCATTTTAAAAATTGTTTCCTGTAATAAGATATTGAATAACCTGTGATAGTTCATTATATTTATTAAAGTTGGGTTGAGATTTATGTTCTCAAGAGCCACCTGCTGGTGAACAGAAGTATTTTACAGAGCCACTTTAAAGAAATATTCAGAACTGATACTGTAAATCAGAGCTATCAAACTAGATTTCATGGGGGGCTGCATCAGAGTTGTGTTTGACCTTGGGGGGGGGCAGCTAGGCATGGCCAACTCAACATCACTACTGTCGGGGGCACCTGTGGAGGCCTGAGTGCTCTGGCAGTCAAAACGCAGCTGGCAGAGGGTTACAGAAATCGGTTGCAGCCGAAAATGGAGCTCGGGAGGGCTGCACACAGCCCTTCCGAGCTCCATTTTCTCTGGCAGAGGCACCATAGGTCGGCCCTTCACTATTTCCAGAAGGCCCTGTGAGCCAGATCTAAGCACTTCCCAGATCTTTTGGACTACAGTTATATTAGCTACAGTCAATGTAACAGATTGTACATTGGTTGATAGATGCTTCCTGCAAGGTTTCAGTTAAATGTTTCTTCTTGTTTTCTGTACATGATTGAACCTGTATACATAACCTTGTATGCCGAGTATGTTCTAAGCCAGCGGACCCCAACCTTTTGAGCACAAGGGACCGGTTCTGCGGAGAGAGGTTTTGTCACGGACCAGAGGGGGTGTGATTTCATATGCTGCCTGCATCCTGTGGATGGGGCTTTGCTTGTTTGCATGGCCTGGCTTTTGACATGCCACGGCCCAATGCTGGACTGGAGGTTCATGAAATTCAGAGTTTCACACACTCATAGCAGCAGGTTATACTTTTCCTGATGTGACAGTGGAGCTTATTTTCTTTATTAATGTCACCCTTGAGCACCAGTCAGTCTGTTTTTTTTCCTTCCTACCCTGTAATCTCATTGTTCAGCTATTGTTGCTAGTTCTTCGTGTTGAATGAAAACTTGGATTTTCATTATGATCTTCCTTTTCTTAATTTCCAATTCTTTGGAACAGAGCAGCATTTTCCTGAAGTGATGCTTGGTGAAGAATTTCTTAGCCTAAACTTGGACCAGGTTTGCAGCTTGATATCAAGTGACAAGCTCACAGTGTCATCAGAAGAAAAGGTATTCTTGATTTGTGTCTTCCGTAATATGGAAATAGAGCTTGACTACGTAGACAGAGGAGAAAAAAGAAAAAAAAACCGGAGCCTTCAGAGAAATGACAGCTTTTGCTAGCTGTCACATGGCTATGAAATAAAGGCTCTTCTTTGAGAAGAGCCTCCCTTCAAGTTCCTAAGGCACACATATACTGCCATAAATAGGGAGTGATGCTTCTTTAGGTATTTGGATCCCAAGCTAATTAATGTTTTGGCACAGTTGGGTTCAAAAGTGTCTGCAAATGGTCCAGAACTAAGAAATACTAGCTGGATACCCGTGCTCCTCCACGAAACCATGTGATCGGGCTTGCTAAACCAACATTTACAGCTTGAAAATTAATTAGTAGTTACGATTGGCCTCTCTTCTCTCCCTCAGGCTTGCCCCACAGAAGCTTCTCCTATCTTATCCCCTTCTCTCCCTCAGGCTGGCCCCATTGATCCTCTCCAAACTTTCAGCCCACAGGCCGGATGAGTCACGTGCTGGCCATGCCCAAGTGGCAGTTGGAAACACAGTTCTTTTCAGGTTGGGAGGGGGAGTAGAACATCTCATTCCTTAGCATCAGAGTGTGTTAATAATAATAATATAAGAAATACTAATGATCTGATGATCATTTTGAAAAATTCTTTCTTGGTGAGCACCTAGAAGCCAAGAGGAACATATGTGCCAAATTTCAAGTTTGTAGGCTTTATGGTTCTGGAGATTACATGATGCCACATGAGTGGCATTTCGCTTTTAAACATATAGATTGGAATAAACTTTAGCAGGTTTTAAAATTCTCTTAACTTTAAAAAAAATTCAGAGTGCCTAAAGGCAGAATACTTCTATGATCAGGAAAGGGATAGACTAAAATGGCCACTAATGAAGCTGAAAAAATAAGAAGGCATACAGATCAATGGTCACAATTTAAAACATTGCTAAATGAGTATTTGATTAACCTTTTGTAGAAAGTATAGCTAGCTGGGTGGAATGCAATTAGTGTCACTTGCAATTTAATGTCCCATCTCTAATTTACACTGGCTGAAGGATTCAGTTTTTTAAAGCAGCACAAGCGTACAATGTGCGCAAGAGCCATCAGCACCTTTAATCTGGATATCTCACTGGCCACTTCTTCCACTGCACATTCATTAAATGAAGCTCCTTTTTTCATTAACATTATTTCTGATGCTGTCAGATGATATTTAAGTTTTCCACCTGGCAGTTCCTTATTGGGTACAACTCCCGTATTGAAAGAAATTTGCAGTTGCTGGTGGTTGGATGATTTCAACACAAACCAAGATTTGAGATGTACAATTGTTATAGATATGTGACTACATTTGTGAACTAGACTATTTGATTTTCTTTCCCTGACTCTCATAATCTATTCTAAACTAAAAAGTAGAATTTCCAATGGTTGCTGTACAGCTTTGTTCATTTAATAGAACTCTGTGATTTTTCCATGTTCCTTTTGTGTTGCCTGCTGTCACCTACTGTATACTGTAGTATCCTCTTTCCTGTTGTGTTTTAGAACGCTAGTCATGCAAAAGACTCAAAACAGGCAAATTAAGTATAACTTCCAAGCACATTTTTATTCTAGTGATGAAATCAAAATATAAATATGTATTACCCTGTATCCCTGAAAATAAGCCCTCCCTCAAAAATATTCCAACACAGCAGCAGCCATGAGATGACCATGCTCACCACTTCCTGCACCTCAAAAATAATAAGACCTCCCCAAAAATAAGGCCAAGCACTTATTTTGGGGGTCAAAAGATAATAAGACCCTGTCTTATTTTTGGGGAAACACAGTACTTATGATCACAATTGAACCCAAAATTTCCATTGCTATGCAAGACAATTGTTAAGTGAGTTTGTCCCATCTTTCTTGCCACAAGTTGTTAAGTTAATCACTGCAGTTGTTAAGTTAGTAACATGGTTGTTAAGTGAATCTAGCTTCCCCATTGACTTCGCTTGTCAGAAGGTCGCAAAACGTAGGATCACATAATGCTGGAACACTGCAGTCGTCATACATGTGAGCCAGTTGCCAAGTGTCCAGATTTTGGTTGCGGTGCCACGGAGATGCTGCAATAGCCATAAGTGTGATAAAAGGGTCACCAGTCACTTTTACAGTACTGTTGTAACTTCAAACTGTCTTTAAACAAATAGCTGCTGTAACTCAAGGACTACTTATATTGCCCTTGAGGTTTTAAATTAGGTCCAGAATGCTAACAGTTATAATGTATACTTATTGCACAACCTGTAAACAAATTGAGATCTCTCTGGACTGGAAGTGTGCTACACAATTTGACATCTAAAAGTGTGCAAGGTATGGCTTATTTAAACGACTGTATTTTCATCCTGCACACAATCACCCTTTCCCCCCTGCATTTATAAATCTTTATTATGCAACTATCCTCTGCCTTTAAAAAAGTGTTTAAGTCATTTCTGCAGACTTACTGTTACATAATTTATGAAATCATTGCTTCCAAATTTGGGTTCCGTAATGACAAATTATGTCCCTTTTAGACAAAACAAGTTTTGATGTTTGCAGGTCTTCGAAGCTGTCATTTCGTGGATAAATTATGACAAAGAATCTCGCTTGGAACACATGGCAAAACTGATGGAGCATGTTCGCCTTCCTCTCTTGCCCAGAGACTATCTTGTACAGGTTAGTAATCATCAGATCTTGGCATAATTAAAAAATATTGCAAGCGCCAGGTGCCTTCTTTATGACTTGACATCCGTTCATCTATCTCCCTTAGGAATCCTAATCTTTGCAGCCTTTTTGCTAGGTGAGCCCAATGCTTTTTCACATGAAGGCTTAGCTGGGTAGAACAGGGATCACATTTAGCGACACTAAATGGTGCAAGAAAGGCTGCCATTTGGTATTATAATGATACATGAATTTGGAATTTTTAAAACCACATTGTATAGATTTTTTTAGTGGTGTAATCACTGAAAGATCATTTATTGACATAGGGTAAAGCTGTAGCCTATGCTGATGATAATTATTTATACATCTTCACCTCTGGCTATCAAGATTAAGTTCTAGTAGCTATGGATTTATAACTTTAGCATTGAATAGGGTGGTACTCCCATTCAAAACTCATACATAATCTGGGGGGCTCTCTTGAAATTCATGGCTTTTTCTTGAAGAGCAGGTGAGACCATGACATAATTCTACCCTGTGAACCACTTGTAGCCACTTATGGATTGAGATATTTTGAGGACTCTTGTCATTTCATATTTGGACTACCATAATTTGATTTAGATGCACCAGGCTAGAAAGCAGGAGATGGTGAATTCTAGTCCTACCTTAATCCTGAAAGGTAGCTGGGTGAGTTTGGGCCAGTCACACACACTCAGCCAGTGGTGGGATTCAGCGAGTTCACACCACTTCGGGAGATCAGTTGTTAACTTTCTGAGTAGTTTGGTGAACTGGTTGTTGGAAGTAACCATTAGGGCAGAGAACCAGTTGTTAAATTATTTGAATTTCACCACTGCTCTCAGCCCAGCTCACCTGGAAGGGTGGAAAATAAGAGGAGAAATATGTGTTAGATGTGTCCGCTGTCTTGAGGCATTGTAAAAATAATAAAGGTGGGATACAAATAAATACACTATTTATACCTCATTAGCCTGAGTAGTAATGGGAACCACCTGGTTGCCCTGTCCCTCCTTTAAGAGCTGTACCTGTTGCCATTTGGCTTCTCAAAACCTTTTGAGAAACTTCCTGTTCAATAAGACTAAATAGGGGAAGCTTGCTGTAGGTTCTGGCTCCAGAAGTGTATTGTTTTGGAGTGACATAGAGGCTCAAATACCTCTGTGCATGTATAAAATGTATGAATGTACAGTATGTTACTATTGTGCTTGTTGCTGTTAGTTGCTTTTCAGAGGGAAAAAAATCCAAGAGAATGTATAGAATAAGATAATCTAGATTTCAATGTTAATAAAGAGCAACTTAATCTTTCTCCAAAATTTGAAACATTTAAGGAAACTGTTAAAAAAATTAACATTCTAGATTACAGATTAAATTTTTAGATCTTCCTAAAAACCTGTAGAGGTACTTTTTGAGAAACTTCCAATATAGGAGTACTGTTAAAAAAAAATCCTCTTTCTTGTGCCTGCTATCTGGCTGTAGCTTACAATTTCGTAAATAGTTGTTGCACAGGTTATTTAGGTATTCTCATGATTTTGAAGGTAATTCAGATCTTTCCTACTGTGCACAATTTGGCTTTGCATGCCTTTTTTCCCCTCTTGTCCAAAATCTCTTGTGTATCCCATTTCAGTGTTGCCCTTAGAAACTTTTGAGATGTGTAGACGTCAATTTCTAGAATTCCCAGGCTGGGATTTGAAGTGCACATATCTTAAAGTTGCTGAGGTTGGCAAACATTTAATGAGATAGGATTGTAGCAGAATTTCATGCATAGAATATGCATCAGTGCTAACTTGAAAATAGAAGTAATATTGCACTTATTTTTTAATGTTCACCACCTATCCTAAAGGTGCTAATGTTCATCACCTATATTCATTAGTGAAATGCAGCCATTGTGCTAACCTGTTTTGGCATTTAGACAGTTGAAGAAGAAGCTTTAATCAAGAATAATAATACATGTAAAGACTTCCTCATTGAAGCCATGAAATATCACTTACTTCCTCTGGATCAGAGACAGCTGATAAAAAATCCTAGAACCAAACCAAGGACGCCAGTCAGTCTGCCAAAGGTAAACAATATTTCCTCGTTGAAAAAAAATCAATTTTAGTTAAGAATTCTAGTATATACAACAAACACTAGTAGTGATTCCAGCCAAAGCATAAAAATATGTTGGCATTGTGTTCCAGTAATTAAACTTTTTCTACTCAAATGTTTTTTTCTATCTAGTATTGATTCTAAAGTAATTTACCCTAAGTAATTTAGAATATATTTACCCTGTTATAGGATAGGTACAGTGCAAAGAAAGCACAAAGGAGACAATTACATATAGTCTTCCTACAGATGTTAAATTGGATGACCATGAATATCAATTCAGATTAGTCAATTTGTGGAGGAACTAAGTTTAGTTTTGGGCAAATGTGAATGTTTGAACTTTTTTGTTAGGTGTATTGTTTATTTATTTGATTTCTACAGTACCTATCTCAACAAGTGACTTGCATAAGAATGCAAACAAATATTAAACATAGATTTAAAATGTGGAAATACTATTTTTATTAACTAGATTTCATTCTGTATTTTTTCACATTCTAAGTTCCTGTGTGTGAAAACTACTCTCTTCTGATGCTAATCACTGTTGCCAGGCATTCATAGAATTGTCACATGTTTCCAGGCTGTTAACAAAAACCTGTGTTTTAGATTCTAAATTACTGGCCTTTTACAAAGCAATATAGTTTATTAAGCCAAAGTGCAGCGGCTCATCCAAAGATAGCAGCAACAACTTTCTGGCTGTACTTTTAATTTTAATATTTTGCATATGTCAAATTCCCATTCTTCTATTATAAAATATTTTTTCTGGAGCATTTTTTTTATTACTTTGTTTAATGTGCTCAGCTATTTTGGGAGATAAAGCAGTTTAAGAATTCTATTGTCTAAATGTATTTCTACTGAAAAGGCCATGATTCTATGGGATTATTATTATTTTTTTTACAATAATTACCTTTTCTTTCTTCCCAAGATAATGATTGTGGTGGGTGGGCAGGCACCAAAAGCCATTCGAAGTGTAGAGTGTTACGACTTTGAGGAGGAGCGATGGGATCAGATTGCTGAACTTCCTTCTCGGAGATGCAGAGCAGGTAAGTCTTATTCTTTATAATGGCTTCTATCACTATTTAAATAGTATTCGTTCTATTATTTATATATTCTGCCATCTATAAATAGTTACCATATTTTTGGAGTATAAGACGGACCTTTCCCCCCCAAAATAGAGGGTAAAAATCTGGGTGCATCTTATACAGTGAATACAGCATTTTTGCCTATCAAAACCCCACCCTCTTTGCAAAAATGGATGTGCAGAGGGTTTGGGAGGCTTGCAAAGTGCACCTAGGGGTTGGGGAGAGCAAAAAAATGGGCCTCTTTTGCTCATTTTTGCCCCCCAGCCCCCAAAAGCACTCTACAAGCCCCCCAAAGTCTCTGTATGCCCTTTTTGTTGGCAGAAAATGAAATGGGCCTCTTTTGCTCATTTTTTGTCCCCCCCCCCCCCGTCTCCCACAGGAACACTACAAGCTTCCCAAAGCTCTGCATTCCCTTTTTGGGTTGTTGTTGCAAAAAACGAGGCGTGCAGAGGGTTTGGGAGGCCTGCAGAGTGCAAAAACGTTAAAAAAAATTACCTCTTCAAAATCATGGTGCGTCTTATAGTCCAAAAATACAGTATGTAATATATCCATCCCCTTCCTGCCTTTCTGAGTAAGCAATATTATGCAAAGTACAGAAAAATGGTAACTTATAAGAAAAGAAATTGGACACAAACAACAAGACAAACAGCTCATTCATTCTTTCTTACAACTGAATCACTTTAACCTGCTTCATTTGTTGTGGTTACTCACTTTTTATACTTAGTCTGCCTTCAATCAATATTGATTCATTGTTTATCTGTTTTACACAGACTTCTTAAATAACAAATTATCAGTGCATTCAACTTCTATGTTATTCATGACATATCTAGCTGTTGTTTCTTTATAATAAAACAATTTGCTCTTATAGATAGCCATTTATTACTTTTGTCAACAATCTGCATGCTACCTATACCTTTACCACTAGCATTTACAGATCTTAAAATGTCTTTATTTATTTCCCCATAATCAGCATGCGAGGTACACAGATTCATTTGCTTACTGTAATGTTTTATTTTGGACTTTGTGTTCTCTGTTGAACACAGCTATATTGACATTTAGTATCTTAATTTCCGAGGTTTATCAGTCAGCCCCAGAGTGGAGGGAAGCTTCTCGGTTCTGGCACTGAAAATCCTCCATGGCTGAAAATCTTAGTTAGATTTCACTAGGGAGTTTTTTCAGTCAGCCCCAGAGTCAGACGGCTTCGGTGGTGGGTTACGACTACTGGTGCCTGCCGGGAGCACCAGGAACCATTCCACCCGCCCACACTCCTTACCGGTATTTGAGGTTTTCGGTGTGCACTGAGCGTACAGCAACTGCGCGACGCTCTGCCAAGGGGAAATGGAGAGTCTTGGAAGTAACCTTCCCCTGAGTCATGCAGGGTATTAAAGGTGAAATTCAGCACTTTGAATTGCCTCTGGGAACTAATGAAGTTCATTAGCAGTTGTGTTATGTGAGCATATCCACATACTCCAGCGGTAAGTCCCAGATTACATGTGCTACTGCTTTCTGAACTAGTCTGGACGATCATCTATTTCAGTGTTTTTCAACCTTTTTTGTGCAAAGGCACACTTTTTTCATGAAAAAAATCACGAGGCACACCACCATTAGAAAATGTTAAAATTTTTTAACTCTGTGCCTATATTGACTATATATAAAGTGTTTTTCCCACGGCACACCTTACACTATGTCACGGCACACTAGTGTGCCGCGGCACAGTGGTTGAAAAACACTGATCTATTTGGTGAGGATACGCTGTTCAAACTTGCCTGTGTCCTTCCCCCTCCCCCCATTTTGGGAAGCACTGTAATGAACATTAAGAATAATTGAATTAGCCTCTGTTAATAAGTTCTCTAAATACATTATAGCAGCTGCTAAAAGCTATTTAATACACTGTGCTAAAATCTTGCTGAGTGTAAGCATCAAATATGCAATTGCAGACACTTGCACATTATTCAAGGAAAGTTCATCAGAAATTATAGGTGCTTGTTGAGACTACTCGGGATCCAGTCCAGATTTATATTTGTATAATATTTGAAATAACTCATACTGGTTGTTATCAGAGGTATCTGGTGGATTATAGATCACGTCAATGCTAAAAGCTGCCAGAAATCGATAACACAAAGGTTAACATGGTGAATCATGCAATCAGAAGCTGCTAGATGAACAGACACTCTCTTGAATTATTATTAGTTTTAATGATACTTATCCTTGCATGTAAGAAGTTGGAATAGGAGTTTTGTGGTAGGCGTAGGTTGATTTGCTTAAAGCGTTGCTCTCTTTTCATTTATTTTTAACAGGGGTGGTATTCATGACAGGCAAAGTCTATGCAGTGGGAGGTTTCAACGGCTCTTTGCGGGTTCGGACGGTTGACGTGTATGATGCAGTGAAAGATCAATGGACATCTATAGCCAGCATGCAAGAAAGACGAAGCACTTTAGGAGCTGCTGTGCTCAATGAGCTCCTGTATGCTGTTGGTGGATTTGATGGAAGTACTGGTAAGCTGATGCACAAAAGCCAGCCCCAATCGGAGAATATTCAACTCTTTATTCTTAAGACTTTCTTCTGGACCAGGGATCGGCAACCTGCGCCTCTGGAGCCACATGTGGCTCTTTCATCCCTCTGCTGCGGCTCCCTGTCTCCAGCTGGCTCCACAATTGATAAGGCTTTTGGTTTGGACAGATAGAGGAAAAAGGACGCTGTGCTAGGAGAAGCTCTATGGTGGGGGAACCGGACTTCTTGTCGGCTCCAGAATTGAACAGGGGGCTTCTGTTTAGAACCTTTGTGGCTCTTTGAGTGTTTAAGGTTGCTGACTTCTGTTCTGGAGTAAGTTCCTCTGTTCATAAATACAAATGTTGGCCTTCTATACCTACTTGTGTGACACCCCCATTTATTTTAATAATGATCTTCAAGAAAATGGATGGAGCTGAAGCCTAATTTTTAAGGATGGTTAATTTTGGCATGCCCATGGGAAGAAAAACTAAATGTTTACTTAAGAAAATCCATTGCTTCCAATTGCCCCCATTATGTAGTTAATCAGATTCTACAAAAACCCTTCCTTGAACTTCCCTTCCCTGTTAGGAAGTGGCTTTAGAATGCCCTGTTAAGCATAGGTCATTAATAAGAACTGGGATGTTATTCTCAGGGGTGGCTTCTTATTATTGCAAATTTTTATGATGATTGCAATAGGTAAGGATAGTGTTAATGCCTGGAAAAGAAGCTTCCTGATTAGCAAAGGAGCTCTGGCTTTCTTCTTCCCTTTGTTTGCCTGAAGGGATATGATCATTATGAGAAGGATTCTGTGATAGAAAACAACAGTGTTGTGTGTTTCCCCTTTTCATGTTTTCAAACTAGGTCTGGCATCTGTGGAGGCTTATAATTATAAGGTCAATGAATGGTTTTTTGTGGCGCCTATGAACACAAGAAGAAGCAGTGTGGGAGTTGGAGTCGTAGAGGGTAAGAATTTTCTGTTTTGAAGTCACTCATATTTTATTTACAGCAACGCAACATTGCAACTACCAATATCGCAAAATCACATCCAGCCAATTAAACTAGTCAAGGATAATTGATGTTTTTTTCTGTAAATACATCTCTGCCATTCTATAAGTACAGCTGTGTCTGAAAGCTTAGTTGGTCATGTTCCCATATTTTCTTATTAAGGGTGGCATGTTTTTTTTTTTTTAAAAATTTCCTGTCCTGGAAAGAAATCAAGAAATTAGTGAAGGAAAGAGTTTCTATGTGTCATGTAGGTAGTCCTCAACTTAAAACCATTCATTCAGAACTATTTAAAGTTACAACAGCACTGAATGAGGGGAGCTTAAGGTCCTTGACTTTTGGCTGATTTTAAAGTGTCAGTAACTACAAATGCTTCCACTTTATAATAAGAAAAAAAACGTGAAATGATTGCTGCCTGTATCTTGAGCTTTTAAAAATCTTCTTGCTCTATAAGAGTTTCTCATTACCTTGATATTTCATTGGAAATGCCCAATAGAAGCATATTATAACTACTGCCACCAAATTTGTAGATATTCAACAAGTTTATGTCTATTATGTGATAATCAGGTGAGCAGTGATTAAAAACTGGTTATTAAATATTCACCATGTATTTTCCTTTAATTGATCCTGTTGACGGCTGATGCTAAAATTCTAGGTAAACTGTATGCTGTTGGTGGATATGATGGAGCATCACGCCAGTGCCTTAGTACCGTGGAGCAGTATAATCCATCTACAAATGAATGGTCTTACGTTTCTGATATGAGTACTCGGCGCAGTGGTGCAGGTATTCTATCCCAAATCATGATTATTTATTTACTTAAAGTGTTAGACTTCTGTAACATACAGCAATGTTTCCTTTTAGGTCTTTTTCCCCTCAGTTCTTTGTGTCAATCTCCTTATGGCCAGGTTGATAGGCATTCAAGTCAAAGCAGATAGTATCATAACAGGCTGGAGTAGATAAATATGGACCATCTAAAGAAAAGTAAAATGTAGTATTGACTAGCAAGTTGGGATGTTCAGTGGACTTAGTTCTATAAACATCTGTCATGATTATTGATGACTAACCTGAAGTCTGCTTCAGATTGACAATTCAGTCTAGACAGTTTTATGTTCCAGTAGTAGCCAAGATTGACATATTGACATTGGATGTGGAATATTTATAGCTACAGCAATTCCTTTTCACAAATGCCCTTGCAGATGTCACAAACATGATTAGAATGTAGAAATGACTGTGTACTTGCCTCATGGCTAAGACTGCTTCCAGAGAGTTGATCCCGCCCCCCATTACCTTCATTTTCCATGATACACATAAAGAAATTGATTAGTAAGGGGAAACCTCTAATTGGCCACTGTAGGAAGCACAGCACTTACTGGCTATAACATCTCTTAATGGTTAAAAAATACCATATTTTTCGGAATATAAGACGCACCCTTTTCCCTCAAAAAAGAGGCTGAAAATCTGGGTGCATCTTATACACTGAATATAGTATTTTTTGCCTCCTGAAATCCTGCCCCTTCTCCAAAATGGTCTGCAAAGCCTTTAGGAGCCTTGCAGAGTGCTTCTGGGGGCTGGGGAGGGCAGAAATAAGCGAAAATGGGCCGCTTTTTTGCTCAATTTTGCCCCCCCAGCCCCCAGGAGCACTCTATAAGCCTCATAAAGGCTATGCATGTCCTTTTTTTTTTTTGACAAAAAATGGGCAATTTTTTTGCTCGTTTTTGGGCCCTCAGCCCCCAGGAGCACTGTACAAGCCTCCTAAAAGCTATTTATGCCCTTTTTTTGAAAAACAAACAAACAAACCCGGGCCTATTTTCATGAAAAACGGACTGTTTTTGGGAGGTCTGCAGAGTGCAAAAACTTTTTTTAAAATTTGCCTCTTTAAAACCTTGGTGCATCTTATACTCCAAAAAATATGGTAGTTTTTTAAAAAAAGACAGGTTGTCATGCTATTTTGCCTCTTATTTCCTCCCAGATTGGAAACATCAGCCCACTGTTGAGAGGGTTTGGGCAAGGGTTAAAGCTCCTACCTCATCCTTCCAAATGCTTAAAATACTCCTGCAAAGAAAGAAATAAAAGAAAAAAGAGCCTAAGAAAATCAATTCCCAGAGCCTTGAAAAGGATGCTAAATAGCCTCATATTTTTTTCCCATTCTAGGCCAATTTTGTCACGCTTTTAAGGGGATCAGACTAAATGTCTATGGCACAGGTGTCAAACTTGATCTTGTCATGTGACATATCATGACAAACCACAATGTTTTTTTCCCTCTGAGGAGCTGAGATGGATGAGGCATCCTGCCCGCAGGCCACCAATTTGACAGGCCTGGTCTATGGAGATTCTCAGTCACCCTGGTCATGTTGTCCGAAAGGTGCTTTTTCAAGAGGCAACTGGACTTTCTGGTTTTGAAGATGTTTCATTTTTCATCCAAGAAGCTTCTTCAGCACCTTTGGGATGTGGATCAGACTAGAAAACCAAAGTTATGGATGCTAATGCTATTTTTATTATAAAAGTACAATTACAGAATCTTGCAAGACTGTATGTGCTTCCCCTTCCCTCCCTTTATTTTTATGAGAACTAGAGAGGGTTAAGTCAAATGCTTTCTCAGATTACATTTTTGCCGTGGACTCAGATTCCTTTTATCTGACCATTGTTTTGATTCTGGCTCTTCCTCCTGTTCCTCACGGTTATTCTTTCTGCCTCTTACAAACTCTTAATTTGGGGTAATAGTTACCCCAATGGATACTGTACTGTTCTGTCAGGGCTATGCTTTTGGCACAGCGATTTATCATCCCTGTCCAGAAGTCGATTTATAATAGATCCTGAAACTCCCTCTTTGGCTTTTAGGGGTTGGTGTTCTTAGTGGCCAGCTATTTGCGACTGGAGGGCATGATGGTCCTTTGGTGAGGAAAAGCGTGGAAGTGTATGACCCTGGAACAAATACATGGAAACATGTAGCAGATATGAATATGTGCAGAAGAAATGCAGGTATTTTCCTTCCAAATTTCTATATCACTATTCAGGTAGTGAACTGCCATTCAGCAGTTGAGGGAAATATTAATACCAAGGATATATGATAACAAACATGTCAGTCTTTAAAGCACTATAGCACTTTTAGTTACTTTAATAATCATGACATCTTATTTCAAATTAATGTTTGATTAAGTCTACATACTTTAAGTTCAGCAGATTTGAAAATATTTGTAAAAATAGTGGCAAATAAATGCGGGACATTTAATACCCTTTTAAATTACAAGTTTCTATATCTTGGATTATAAAGAAATAGAAAAAAATACAGAGAGTGAATATTAAAATATTTTAAAATCATGTTTTACTTTTATAAATGTTAGGATAGTTTACAAGAGGTACAAGTTAAATAATGGCAGAATTATATAAATTATAGTAAAATATAATTGAAAAGCACATGTACAGAGTTTGGTAAGAGAAGGGATAAAACTACAAGAATAAATATATTTATTTTAAATGTCTAGATATCTGAAATTTGACACTTTTTGTCTTGTAAATCTCATCACTTGCCAAGTCCCAGAACAAGCATTTTAAATAGGATATTCTTGCTTATTTTTAGTTAATTAATTAAATGTTAAACACAGGGGGGATATAGTTCACTTATATTTATTGCAGAATGGATGTCATGATTAACGAATGAGTAATATGCGGGACTTCATTCTATATTTATTTATTTAATTCAAGGCGGGCCTATTCCTTAATAACTCCAGACAGTTGACAGAAGACGTTTGTTTGTGTGTTTGTGTGTGTATAATCTGCGTGTGTGTATATAATCTCCGTGTGTGTATATAATCTACGAAAACATCTGAGCTTCCGATCACGCTTTGCACGCACAAGCACGAAGCCAAAGGCACCAGCCTGAAGATGACAAGTGTGACCTTGTCGAAACGTCATCAAGATACTGTAAATCTTACACTGGAAAAGACCCGAATACGCCAAGTCCTGCATACCTATACCCGTGAAAATCTACGAAAACAAATGTCTCTGTGTGTGTGTGTGTGAGAGAGAGAGAGAGAGGTGGGTTCCTACCAGTTCGCACCTATTCGGTAGAACCGGTTCGTCAAATCTACCAAACCAGTTAGAAGAGGTTCCACCAGTGGACCCGAAAAGCAGGCCACACCTACAGAAGAGGTTCCAATTTTTTTTGAAACCCACCACTGGTGTGTGTGTGGGTGTGTATGTATGTGTATATATGTGTGTGTGTGTGTAATATATACATACATGCATGCATACATATATACATACATACATATATATTCACAAATTATGATTTCTTAGTGGTTAGAAAAAAAGCAAAACAAATATATGATACAAGCAGAAACCTACTAGTATGACTGACAAAATGTGTGTGATTTCAGTAAATAGTGAAATAACAGGTGTTAATAATAAAAAAAATCAATGTTAAATTTGCCCTTCTGTCTTGCCATGACAGCAGCCTATAAAAATTAGGACTTCTGTACTGTTTTTGTTCTCTCTGTAGGTGTGTGTTCAGTGAATGGACTTCTTTATGTAGTTGGGGGAGATGATGGCTCTTGCAATTTGGCCTCTGTAGAATACTATAATCCTGTCACTGACAAATGGACACTATTACCAAGCAACATGAGCACTGGAAGAAGTTATGCAGGTAAGCTGTGCATTGGTCTGGACTGGCATAGAATGACAAGCAAGTTGATTATATGTTGTTTAACTTCCTGCTATGGCTCTTGTTGAGTATTGCTTTTCTTAACTGAATCGGATAGGATTCCAGATCTTTGTTACATGTTTGTGTCTTCATTAGATTTACCCATTGGCGATTTAGCATTGTGCCATTGACATGCATGTAACTATGTAATCTCCACTAACAGGTATATTAAATTGTTCTGGGTAGCCTTAGAATGTGTATACTTAAATTCTCAATGACATGACATTTAACTGGATGGAATGAGACACCATATGGCGCCAATTTTTGAACCGAGGTACTTCAGATAGGCTAATTTACACAATACATCCAAAATCTGGGACTCATGACTGCTGAGGGAATGAAATGCGGGGAAGCTGTGGCTCCTTCAGTGCTACTGGCTGCTGCAGTCACATGTTCTTCATTTTCAACATGAAGTGACAGTTTCCCATCCAGTCCTGCAATCTCTTTCTCCCTCCCCTACACAGCAGCAGGCCACTAGAAAAGGAAGGAGTGAGGAACAGGGAGGAAGGAACATTTCCTGGCCCATGCCACCTTTTTGTGCACTTCCCCAACCTGTGCCAGCCCTGATCCATGCCAAACCCACACATCATCCCTGTCTTCCATGTGCCATGACCCACATGTATCCCCAAAACCCCACCCCACTCCATGCCTGTTCTGTGTGCCTTCCCTGATCTATGCAGCACCTCTTGGGTACACCACACACCCTTTCCAACTCACATGGTACCTCTTGTGCACCCCCACATACCAGGTCTTATTTGCACACACCCCAGATGCTCCCTCCCTCCCTGAACACCAGCCACTTACCTGCCTGCTGGCCTTTCACAGTCTCACCTGGTTCATAAGGGTAATCCAGGAAATTATATCTCTCAAAGTGGATAGAAGGGAGAAACCATTAAGACAGGCTCTAGAAAATGCTTATGAAGCTCAGGATAAAGTACATGTACTTTGACCTTTCAAGTCATCATGGCAATCGTTTTGGGAGAGGCCCTGTCAGAGCACATGACCTACAGTATGTCATCTGACCTATAATTGTCCAGTAATATTAATAAGAGCTCCATTGAAGTCTATTAAATAAAATGACAAGCCAAACTATAGCTTTTGACTTTCAGCAGCTCAGTTTCTATGTCAGAATGTATTAGGGACACATCTAAGAATAAAATAAAGGACATCAGAAAAAAGACTGCACTTTTATTTTGAAGGAAATGAAGTTAGAATAAAGGGCCAAAAAAGAGATATTAAAAAAGACTGTCTGTAATTTTTCAAGGGGGGATGAAGTTAAATAAAACTCTAATTGTACCCCATGCAGTAATTACAGTTGGAATGAATAATAATTTGATGGCAGCTGGAATAAAATTCTCTCCTTGCATCCACTAAAACTGCTGGAGTGCTTTTCGGGTCATGGAGAAGGTATAATTCATCGTAGAGGCTTGAAAAATATCTCCCACAATTTTTAAAACATCTCAACCTGCTCAATGTCTTTAGACACAATGAAAGTCTTGAAGCGTGTACCGTTCGGGTCTGTCACTAACAGGTTGTGGAGATGTTTCTCAAACCTTTACAATGAATTACAATTTCTCCATGATCCCCAAAGACCATATTTTTCTATTTTTATTGAAAATGCAAATTGTCAATTAAAGCACAACATTTTTTTTTCTTAGCAGTAACAGTATAATAGAGTTAGAGCTTGGAAGTCTTGCAAAGCCAAGGTGCTGTCCCAGCCCATCAGCACAGAACAAAGCACAAAGAGGATTTGTGGTGCACCATAGCTGTGGGGCTACCAGAAGTCCCTGGCCTGCAATGCAAAGCCTAGTTCTGCTCAGTGCAAAACTGCACCTGGCCCTGGAAACCACAGTTGCCAGAGTCCAGCTGCAGTCACCCATGCCACTCTATACTCAAAGGCCCCTGCCGTCCTATACTTTGCCACCCCAATTGACTTCCACAGTCTTTTTATTCCTGATGCTGGCAAGGCTTGCCTGGCCTGGCCTTTCACAAGGCAACTCTGGCCATGTGAGGCCACCTTCTCCAGGTTTCCAGGCAAGAAAATTGCCATGCATGACCTGGGGAAAAAAGCCTCCCCTGGCCAGCAGCTGCCTCATGATAGGCCAAGCTGAGCAAAAAGATGGTTTAAGGTTGGCTTAAGGCATCAGGAGCTGAGAAGTGCAGGCAGCCAAAAAGGCATAGATAGTGGAGAGAGGTGGATAAGGGGAATTGAAGAATACAAATTCATGAAGGGTTAGTGTTAGGAATAGGTAGGTGGGCTTCCAAGCACCTGAATTTTGATCACTGCAGCAGCCATAACTTCAGGTATTGGTTTGTTAGCACTGACATAATTTTGGCTGATCACTGAACAAATGGTGATAAGTCAAAGATTACCTGTATGGTTGTTTGTATTGTTTTTCATTTACCATTATATAACCAAACAGTGTATTTCTTAAAGTTAGTGATTTCTCGTATACTTTCTAGTAAATTACCCAGTGATTAATTTAACAACTGTGACAATTTTTTTCTGATTACTTCAGGACTGGGTACAATATTACGTTTTCAGTCAATAATAACTCCCATCGGTGGTATACATGTGGCAGAATAATAAGCCTGTTTGGAATCTATCTGCTGTAACAATGATAAGCCAAGGAGACTTCATTTGTGAAAGACTCACTTGAAGGCTCAAGAGCTTGAATGTTTCATTGAAGTGAAAATTAGTCTCTAATCATCTTGAATAATACATTGAGTAATCTACTTTTCTCCCTTGCAGGTGTAGCTGTGATCCATAAGCCATTGTGACACCCATTTGTGTGAATGCAACACAAGAAATGATGACTGTCTAGTTGTGTTTTGGAAGACACTGGGGATTTTTAATTGCCATACTAACGCTGCACTTCTAGCCTGACAACCATATTTAATAAGAGCATCCCTTTCTTCTCAACATGCCACTGCTGGGAACAAATTCCAGAAATAAGGTGTTGCTTATTTTGTGGGTGTTCTGTTCTGTTTTTGTGTGAGCTGTTTTATGTACAGCCAGGATTGAGCTTGAAGTGAATTTCTCAAGAAAGAGGAAATGTTTCTCTACAGCTTGTGACTGGGAGAAACTTTTTTAAAAGGATTCTTTACTACTGACAGTGAATTAAGTATTAGACATAATTTTTTACTTGGTTATAAACACTTAATTACACCCACAGAAACTAGAAATTTCAAAATACTCATAAAAACTGTCTGGGAAGCCGTCCAGAAGTTTATTTGCTGTATTGTATCCAATCTGTGTACATATCCTATTTGACTACTGTAAATGTATAATTTTGGGTGCTGGAAGTATCCACTGTATGATTTTTCTCTAGTGGCAAAAATCCAGATTCATCAAATTGACTAGATGAGCCAAGTAGTGTGTTTTTCTGAACTTCAAATGCCCAAACACCAGAAAGACCGTTGAAATGCAGTATTCTACTGCTTTTGAACAGACTTTTTTTTCCCTCAAGGTTGACTTTGGTGGAGTGGAGTGATGGGGCAATGTAATATATTTGTTGGCAACAATTGAAAAACTAATCAGAAAAAGCAAGCTGAACCTGCAGTCTGTTTTTGGTGCTGTGATATTGTGTCATCTTCAACAGTGTAGAACAGGCCTGTCAAACTGGCAGCCCGCGGGACGGATGTGTCACGTGCAGGCCACGCCCACTCAGGCTCTTCAAAGGCAAATGATATTGAAATATGTCGCGATACAGCACGTGACACAATCAAGGTTGACACCCGTGGTGTAGAATGATGGAAACATGCCACAAAGTTCCACATTGCAACTTTTATGATGATTTGGGGATTTCAGATGGGACCATAAGCCACTTCAGGAACAGAAGCAGTATTGTGCCAGGATGATAAGGTACTGCCAAGTACAAGGGCTGAGGGAATTTGGGGTGAGGGAATTTTCTGTGGAAATGCATCTTCAGAAGTCCAAAGGGGATATCAAGAAGACTGTAACTATCATCTAGGAAATCCCAGCTAAGCTTTGATTAGAAGGAACTGGATTCCTGCATATACCTCTCATGCATTTGACCCTACATCATCAGTTGCCCAAGATATTTAGAACTTCTAAGTGTCTTTCACTTCATCATTGTTTAACTCTTCTAGCTGGAGCTATCCTTCTAAATGTTATCCATATGTTTGCGGTTCTATGTATAAAAAAAGGCATTTGAATTAATTTATTCTAAGAAAAGGAAAGGTAAGTGACTTCTCAGAATAGAAAAAATGTCCAGCTATATAACTTGATCTGTATCCAATTCCATTCTAGCTATTGTTTTAAAAAAAAAATCAAACTACCACCACATGGAAAATAATTCTGTTGCTCAAAATATATTATTTACTTCCATTTTTTTTCCAGTCAGGTAACATTCCCCAAAGCACCTATTTCCCTATTCTTTGCTATCTTTTCCTTGAATACTTTTTCTGTTTTATTTTGATTTAAGAAAAGCATTTAACTCATTTGTCTTGCTTTCAGTTTTTCTGTCACTTAAAGTAACTGTGAAACATTAGTGAAGCAGAAAATGCAATTGAACATAATTTTCAGTAAGTGTTTCTAAAGGCAAGACTGGATTATTATTTTTTATAAGTGGTTTCTTCTTTTTAAAAACAAACTCTTTACATCTTAATAATTCTTTTTTGTGTATTGGCAGAGAAAGTATAGTACCAAAGGGTAAGAATGCACATAGAACAATCCTAGCTGCTATTTAAAACTCAGCAGTAAACTGATTATTGTCTGTTTAACACATACTTTAAGGTAAAATATACGGCATTTTCTTCATTTGTCTTTCTCCCTTTTTATTAAGGTTGCCTGTCACCAAGGAATTGCTTTCCCAAAGCTGGGAACAATAAACACATTGCATCAATTGCATTTTCTATACTGAGTTTGAGGGTGAATGAAATACAGCTTCCTTTTCTCCACATAGAAGTTCCATCCAGAGTAATTGAATATGGTGGCAAATCTCTAGTCCTTCTGGGGAAGATTTGAGAATGCCGTGGAGATTTTGCAGGGCTTAGCCAGACCTGGTTTGGATTTTTATTGCTGAGCAATAAATGACTTGAGTTGACATAGTTTGTTTAGCTAAAAGCAAACAAGTCTCATTCTGCGAAAGTTAAATGTGAACTAGGGCTTTGCATGTGATGGTAGTAGATAACATTCAGTGCTTTATAAACAAATAGACATGGAACAGGATTTAAACTTCATATTTTTCCCTCACTATCCACACAAACCTCCCTAGAAGATCTGGACACCATAGTTTTTGCTCAAAAATCTCTAGGATGATGTCTTGAGTATAAATCCTGTCATCCTCATTGGGGAATCTTCCGGGTATGATATCCTGCCTGTAGCACCTGTGAATCACTCAACAGGTGGAAAATGCTTCCAGTAATCTGCACGTGAAGACCACAGTATGTAAAACAGTCATGTCTTTGAAACACAATGAGGTTTTTTTCTTTGTTTTTGCTTTGTGATGCTCATTGAGGAATTTGTGAAGTAGTAAGATGCCATATTTACCTCATTTGATGATGCAAGTGTTTCTACAAATGTATATGCACTAAAATCCAACTTCTTATCAAAGCTATATGCATGCTACATTCCACCACTGATAGGCAATGTATTTTGCTGTCTAGCTCTACTATAAAGTGGCCCCTAGGTTCCCATGTGACAAGTTGGGGTGGGTGGGGGTATTAGAAATTTGTGTGCTGGCTGTTCATAAATGGCATTGGTTTCAGCTAAGAGCCACTTATCACTAGCAAATGGTATGTGTCACTCTTCTGTGGGTAAACTTGCAGGGTTAATGCAAGTCAAGTGACCTCATTTCTCAGCTATGCAATATTAATAGTTGTGACACAACCAACTGCAATTGCCCTTTCAAAGCGCTTTTGAAATAACTTTCATTTGCACCACGCCAATTCTGAGCCGCAGCTTTTCAAAGATTGCCTTTTTATAGGGCTTGGAAATACAGCTTTAGAGCTGGCAAGTTTAAATGTAATTATTTTTGTAAGATAATTCTTAATGAGTTCTTGGATCTCTTTTGATGCTGGTGGCAATTATGATTAGTGTCTAATCCTTACACCATGGGCCCAATTCTCACCAGCCATTTATTTATGCTGGCTTATGGAAAGGACACAATCCTGCTCAATGTTCATTAACAGTGGACTGTTACCTCTATATTAGTAAGATTCTGAACTAAGGCACACAGCTATGACCACATCTATTGGCTTTTTTAAAAAAGAAAATGGACATAATTTGGCTTCAATTTGTACATCAGGATTGCTTTATTTTCTCTTTGGTTCTCTAGTAACAATATGCAGCTCAATGCTAAAGACAAATTTATAAATAGAGTTTCTTTGCAAGATGGCTTTGAGAGAACTAATCTTGTTGAAATATTATTGACGGAAGCTATTTTACAATCTCTTGTCCAAAAGCTGACTCATTTGATTGTGAAACGATCCTCCATAAATCCGGATTATAGATGCAAAAATTAAAAACCATTGCGAAATATTGTTTTTATGTCTGTGCTTAACATATGCTCCTAAACATAGTGCAGATTTTCATTATTGGAAGCTTCTGGCAGAGAATCCCATCCCTCCCCCCAGTATTTTAAAGGAAATCTGTATGATGCCAACTAAAGTGGCATGGGTACACTGTTAATTTTCTCATTTTCAGTTGCTATTGTAGTTCATTAGATGGAACATAAGCGGGGTGCAGAAATCCAGAGTTTTCATGTGTCTCTGTTGCCATCTAGTTGCTGCCTGGATTTAAAAAAAAAAAAAACCTCAGAGATCAATGAACAGCCCAACTCCATTGATGTTTCAAACTTAAGAATTTCAGCAATTGAGATTTGCAACCAATGAGCTTATTGGACAAGCTTATGTCTAGATATTAAAGCACAAAGTACAACTGTATTCAAAATGAATTTAGAACCAAGTCCTGTATTTATGTGGCATCTGTAAAGGGAGCTAGTTTCTCTGCCCTAGTATTACAAATTAGCTGGTAGCTTTATTTGAATTTGGGTACCAATTGGCTTAAATAAAGTTCAGGCAGGTTAAGTGGATTTCACATTGTAACCAGCATTAGCCTGATACACGCGCACACACACACAGACACACACACACACTGTGTGTGTGTGTGTGTTTGTTTGTTTGTTCAATAGACCCCGAATAACACTGCATGATTAAGCAGTGAATAAGGAATTATTTTTATTTTTTGCACTATATGTATATTGAAGACTTTGGATATTATATTATTTACCTTCTCAATCAAACGAATGCACATGTCCACTACTTAAACAGGCTTGTTTCCTCCTTTATGGGTAGGAATCCAGAGTTACTTTAAAGCACTGAATTTTTTTTTAAAAAAATCATTTAAAAAGAATTAAAGTTTTGATCATAACTGAATTAACAGATTAGGGTAATATAAAGAGGCAGATTGCCATTAGCTCTTGCGCAATGTTTGTTTCTGAAAACATGAAATGATTACTTTTGGTTGAATTTCAGGCATTTAGAAATTGTCTTTTGCTATCCAGTTTCCAGTTGGATTCCACAGTTTGTTCCTAAATTATCTCTCCAAGTTAGAGTTCAATCCTGGATTATGGATAGATGATGATTTGTTGCCATGCAAAATCAGGAGGGAGCCTGTAAGATGCTGCTGGTGCTTATAATGGTTTGGTTAAGGCTGACATCTGAATGTGCTCAATATGTGATAAATATATCATATGATAAGAATCCGAAACACTCTTTGTTTCCAATATCCTAAATTATTTTATTTTTCTGTGTGGTAGCAATAAACAATAAGGGGTTTAATTTATAAATATAATGTTTAAGATACAGTTTAAGACTAACAGAAGATTATAAAGGCAACGTTTTTTTTTTAATAAAATAAACTAGTCTGAGATACAATGTAGCTGTGATCCTGTACTATTTACAGCCCAATCCTCTGCATGTTTGCCTCTGCATACTTCAAAAGCAAAGTTTCACTTTAAACCAGGGCTGTCAAACTCACGGCCTGCGAGCTGGATGTGTCACATGCTGGCCACACCCACACTAGCGGGGAGTGGGGGGGAGTCCCAATACATCAAGTGACACTGCCGTGAGTTTGACACCCCTGCTTTAAACAGTGGGAGTTAATTCTAAATGGACCTGCACAAGATTGCAGCTGTAATTAGTTTCATGACCTTTCAATCACGTTGCCCATGATATTGATTTGATAACTCTTTATACCTGATTACCGCTGAAGGAGGAACTGGTTGGTAGTGCGATTCTATTTCCCCGTCTTTCTTTCAGCTTCAAGACTTCATAAAAATGTTAACTTGTCAACAGGAAGTTATATGTATTTTCTGGCACATCGAATTTTGCTTGAATAAAGTTGAGCAAATAAAAGTGATCTTGCATTTTTTTTCAGATTCTGTCAAGGATTTCAGTGAGAGAAAATGTGGTGTGGAAATGTATTTTTTTTTCTCCCAATGATGAAGCTTCAATACTATCGCTTTCTGCATTCATGCAATTACGATATGTGCACATTATAACTTAGCTGGGAGTACAATTAAAAAGTCAGCCTTTCCTGTTCCTTCAGATGGCTAATAGAAACATTATATTAAAGGCTTTGGTAAGGTGCCTATTGCTTGGCTGAGTAAGAAAAAGCAATTAAAATGTTGGCTGAAGTGAATTCTGCCTGCAGGAGATGCTCAGGAAAAACTGCTTAAAGTTGTATGGAAAGTAGCAACCTGCACTGCTGTGGGAATTATTTGTTGAGAAACATGGATACAAACAGCCTGAGAAAGTTTACGCACTAATCTCTTGAGAGCCTAAGTTGTTTCAAATTTCATTGCTTGTGCAACTTGATCTGTAGACTTCCACAACTCCCCTTTGGGTACGTATTGAACTGCCTATGGCAATGAAAAGCAATCTTTTGAATTGAGCAGGATAACTCTTACATATTTACTCATAACTGATACCCACTCAATGGCTCTTATGCTCAGATGTTCCTAGCCTAGCACTGTAATCTACATATACACAGTTGTGGAAAATAACATGTTGGGAAGTAGTTGAGGTGATCTCACTCTGTATATACAGGTAGTGTCAGGCCTGGAAGCCATCTTTTGCATTGGGCCTTCAGGCCTTCCACATTCAATGCTGTGGGGAAATAGGAGGGAGGATTATATGGAGTATGGGAGATATATAGTCATAATAACATTCCTTTCTCAGAGAGTCAAGGACATCTTGCTCTGCACCTGGAGGGCAGTGGTGTATTAACCATTAAGCAGACTAAGCATGTACTTAGGGCACCTGGCCCCAAAGTGGGCACCACAAAGTTGAGAAAGTTGAGAAAGAAAAAAAAACCAAGATTTGTACAATATTTACAAAGGAGGAGGGCACCAAGATTTGTCAGTGCTTAGGGCACCAGTGAGCCTTAATCCGCCACTTCTGGAGGGGTATGACTGGGAGCCATTTCCAATTGGGACAGTTCCTAATTGGGTCATGTGATGGACATGTGGGTGCTGGGCAGGGACTTGGACTTTATTTTAGGTGGGGAAAAGCTGGACACTTTCAGATTTGGGTGTTCCCAGATGTGCCAATATGAGCTCTAATAAAATGGAACTTTGAGGAACTTCAAGCCTCGGAGTCTTCTTTTGTTGAGGGTGTTACTTGGAACCCTGACAGTTAGTCCTAGACTTACAACAGTTCATTTAGTGACTGTTCAAACTTACAGTGGCACTGAAAAATGAGACATGACCATTTTTCACAGTTACCACCTTTGCAGCAATCCCATGATCGTGTGATCAAAATTCACATGCTTGGCAACTGGTTCATATTTATGACAACTTGGGGTGTGCTGGGGTTGTGTGATCTCCTTTTATGACCTGACAAGCAAAGTCAATAGGGAAGCTGGGTTACTAACTTATCAACTACAGTGATTCACTTAACAACTGTGGCAAGAAAGGTCATAAAATGACAAGCAATAAGTATACTAAACAATATTCTTTGGGAAGAGGCTCACAAAACTACCCCAAAAGGAATATTCAGAGGAATGTCCACCTGTTCACAGTGATCTTGTTTCTTCTGTTGATTAAATTGAAGGTGGTTGTCTCAGAAAAATTGAAGATACGTCCAAATGCCAAGACTCCTACAGAGAGATGAACAAAATGCACCATTTAAATACTTTTTATTTTTAAATATTTTTTTTTACAAAATTATTGGTTAAAAATAAAAAATCCTTTACCATAGATAATTTGAAAACCATAAGGCTAAGAGGCACTTACGTCCCTTAGCAGTATTTCTTTTAACATCAAAATATATTAATCCAATGAAAAAGTGTTGTGTACAATATCCCCTCACCCCTTTCTTACTTGTGAAACTACAGTTATGTACTATGATTCCTTGGGAATAATGTTGTCAAAGGACAATATAATGCAGTTTTCCACAAAGCTTTATACAGTTTTTCACAAGGGTGGTGCAGGTTCAAGTAAAATACTTCCCATATGCTGTTTAAAATTCTTGTTCATTTCTGTGAATCCAGCTTTGTGTATCTAATTTTAGAATTCAAAGTTCTGTACCTAAACCTAATTTTGACAACAAGTAACAATTAGAAGTCAACTGGACAATCAATCAAACTGTCAATCAAAAATGGATTAAAAATAGCCTTTCCAATAAAAATAACATCCACTGTCTAGCTCTAGAATGACAGAAGATTGCTGTACTGTAGTTTTAAGGAGAAAGAATTTGCAACCAGACAGTAGAGGTCGCTAGAGCCAAATAAAAAAATATGAAGCTGCAGTGATTGCAAACTGCTTTCTCAAAATACCTTGCAATATAAGGTACTTGCAGAAATGTGAATGCTGCCTAATTGTGGGTTATCATAATAGCCTTGGTGTGAACTAGAATTATCATGTCCATGTTGGTTGCTGTTACTCTATGTTTTCTCCAGCTAGTTCAAAGGCCAGCTAGTGAAAGTGTGAATTACGAAAGAAGCACTTGTTTGCATTCAGTTCTGTGTTCAGTGACAGTTTATGATTTTTTTCTAAAATTTCTATCCCATCAATGGGTAGAACATTTCTGTTTTCAATCATTTCACCTCTTTATTGGCGAATGAGTGATTGAAAGCCAAGGGTGTTGGTTGTCTCTTTAAAAGTCTTTCTGTATGTAGGCATGTATTTCATGTTAGAAAGGGTAGAGAAGTCTTTTTATAAAATGTGATGCATGTCTGTACATAATATGGCAACGTGGAATTATGAAAGAAGAAAATATGGATGCAGCCTCTGTAGCCGTCTCTCTATTAATTCTGCAAAGTGTTGCACCTACATTATGCAACCCGGGTGTCTTTGATTCTTTATGTGTAGTTTTCTCGTATTGAAATAGCACATAGCTTCCAGACCTATAAGAAAAGAAAAGAAAAACACCAGCTAAACCAATAATTGGGAAAGTTTCAGATCCATTCAAAACTTTCTAACTTATGATAAATTTCTTCTAGCCAGAATATAAAACTTGGATGGAGGATATCTTGCCTTTAAGAAGGGCAGCATTATACCATATTGAAAGTAATTTTTTCTTGATAAGAGAGGAGATATGAATTCTTCTTGGCTGGCCACAGTTATTGAATTTTTTAAAAAACTGAATATTTTGCAATACTATGCCAGACTGAAAGGACTGACTTTTGCTCTGTATTGGATTCCAATTACTGAATCCATACCTTCACTGCTATCAATGTTTACTTGGATTTCTTTCTAATACAGGACAAAAAATAGGGAAAGGGAGACAAACGAGCCAAGAAAGATAAATTATAATCTAAAAGAAAAATAATGGTGGTAGATGTTTTTGGACTTTCATACTCTGACATATTGCACCTTCTCCCCCAAATGTAGAAGCAGGTTGGAACCAGTGCACAGATTTGTTTTTTAAAAAACACATCTAACTTCTGTCTTCCAAATTGGGACTAAAGGACCGCTTACTCTGATAAATGGACTAAATACAGGAGCTTGAAAGCATTACTGCATCAGGATTTTTGTTATATGGTAGTTGGATTGAAAACCAGTGGTGGGATTCAAATTATTTTACTATCGGTTCTGTGGGCATGGCTTGGTGGGGTGTGGCATGGCTTGGTGGGCGTGGAAGGGGAAGGTTACTTCAAAATCCTCATTCCTCCCGATCAACTGGGACTCCGGAGGCAGAGAATAGTTGGAGGCGGAGCCAGTCAGAGGTCATATTTACCGGTTCTCTGAACTACTCAAAATTTCCGCTACCGGTTCTCCAGAACTGGTCAGCACCTGCTGAATACCACCTCTGTTGAAAACAAAAAGAGGAAAGGTATTGCCTACTCAATGGGTCAACTCCTCTGTTGCCCCCTCTAGGTATTGAAAATTCTGTTCCCAGGAAATTGTTGCTAGACTGCAGTGTGGATGTATGAGGATTTTGTAATATAAACCTGAGAGCCAATTAGTGCAATGGTTAAAGCATCAGGTTAGGAACTGGGAGACTGAGTTCTAGTCTTCCTTAGTCACAAAGCCAACTAGGTAACCTTGGGCTAGTCATTTTTCCTCAGTTCTGGAAAGGAGCCAATGGCAAACCACTTTTGTAAGAAAACTTGCCAAGAAAACTGCAAGGATTTGCCCAGGCAGTTTCCAAGAAGCAGGCACAGTTGTACAGAAGGAAACTATAACTCATCTCTCTCTCTCCTCTCTCTCTCTCCTTCTCTTTCTCTCTTTCTCTTCTATCTATTGCCAAGTTGGCCAAGAACCATAGATGCTGCGCTCTGGCACGTTCAGTTTCATGGCCCTGAGAAGTCAATTTGTTATTTTTTCCTGCCAGTTGGTGAAGGCTAGGTAGATGAATTTTCATTTAAAAGCAAATGTTTATATTTATTTGCAATATATTTATTTCATAAATCCTTTATGCTTCGGCTTAGAAAAATCTTTATATTTTAGCACCGTGTTACTCCTATAAGGTAAGTACAATAAATAAGTAGGAAAGTAAATATAGCTGTTACTTATCACCATGTTTCCTTTTACTGCAATTCACTTAAAGGGTAAGAAAAACTTCTCTCAGGATTTTCTGCAGACTATTGCTGGTGGGAGTTGGGGGGGGGAGGGTGGAGAGACTCACCATTGGCTTGATGGTGATCACAGCTCTCTGGCTACCACCCTGTATTTTTCTTTCTTTTTTTTTCTTTTTAACATAATATCTGTATTTCATAAATGGGTGAAGAGAAAAAGCTATTTTTAAAAAACAATAATGGAGGAACCTTTTAAAAAATGGAAAATAAGTCCCATTGCTATGACTCCACCTTCAGACAATTTTACCTAAACATCTTCATGGAAATAACGGGAACTTATTCTGGTAAGCATAAGAAAAACTCCTAAACCTAAACCTATGAAGTTCCT